CGGTGATAGCTAAGAAAAAGTGGTAATAGACACAAAAAACACATCATAGTAAAACGAATACCTTCTCAGCTTCGCATCGAAGCTAAAATATTATTTTCAATTTTTCTTTTAGAGTAGATTAATTATATTAATTCGTTGGAAAATATTTTTGAGTAATACAAAAAAAAGATATTTTGAATAGTCTAATATAGAACAGTTTTCTTATTTCGTTGCGTTAACTAACAATTAAAGCATGAGAAACATGTGTAAGATATAATAATTAAGATTGCACTGGTCCTAGAACTACAAACATAATAAATTATTTTTACAATTGCACCAAAAAAATAGATTACATTCTTGTGTGAGAAGTAAACGTATTCCGGTTAGAAAACGCTTTTATATGAAAAAAAAATGTTTTTTCACTTATTTCTCTTTAATCATTCTCCGTGAGATAAATAAATACAATATACAAAATTAAATTTACTTTAATTATTATTATAATCTTAATAATAGTTATTATTTTAAAACCACAATCAAGAGTTAAAGTCTCTTGTAGTGAAGTTTGACGCCCTAGTGCAATATTTTTTGAAAGAATTGAGGAATTGACATGGGTGACGGCTTATGGATAAGTCATGGCACGGTTTGCTTGCTGTAAATAATAATAATATTGTTAATGTAGAAGACAGACATGGGGCGTCATTTTACGAAGGATTTGAAGTCACGCCGATTTTGTTTTGAACACGTATAGATTAACTGCTGTCACGTTTCAAACTAGGTCAATTTAATAACTAAAAAATGGAGTATATTAATATTATATTACCTAATTGTAACTCATCCCGAAAAAAACATGAAAAATCAGATGTGGTCCAGTAATTTAGTTTAAAAAAATAATGTTAAACAAAATATTTTTTGTGGTCATTAGGCATAACAATTAGCTCCAGATATTATTAAAATGTAATAGAACTGTCTATGTACATTATAATTATTATAATAGTGTGTAAATGAGTTTTTACGTTTCTTTTTCTTTGTTACATAGCTATATAGAAATAAAACTCAAATAGAAAAAAATGACACAAATATATTGTTTATGAATTTGTTATTTTAACGTGTAGCTAATTGAATTATAAATTAATTATTAATTAAATTTTAAGATAACTGCCTACATTGCTCATATTAATGGTCGAGTTTACAAACACATATATCTAATATCATCGAAAAATAATTTTTTTTTTTTAATCATATCTTAGACAATCTCTTAATTTTTTATAAAATTAATGAAAATAGTTATAATAGACAAGTTAATATTCAAGATATAAATCGATATTTAATTCTCATTAGTATAATTTTTAATACAAAATTGTCCTTATGTGCGCGCCTACACTCTCCTACATTAGTTCTTGTTAACTTCTCCAAGTTATTTTTTGTCGTTGTAAAATTCCAACGTTAGAACTCCCTAAAGAGAATGCACCTATCTGGAAAATATTAACAACAGTTGCAGCTTAATATTAGAACTTAGCAGCAATAGGTGTATCCACTGTACTTCGCTAGACAAGTTTCTGAATGTATATCTGGCAATCTTTTTTAATTCATTTCAAAATCAATTAATTTGGCGAACTTTTAGCTGAAAAAATGTTATTTTCAAATGAGATAGCAAGAAGTCTCTACGTTTTATAAGAACTAATATTAGTAGTATTTAGTTAAAAATTACTATTTACAATATTCAATTACCAAGTGTCAGCTCTAAAATTACTAATATAGTAATAGTTTAGTCAAGTATCGGTAAACACCGGGCAAAGCAGTCACTGCTAAAGAAAATCGCAATAACTAGGTATTAAAAACCGCATTAAGCGCGGCGGATCAAAAAAATTATAATTAAATATAACTATTACATTATTATCAGTAATTTTACTATAAATTAATCATAGTAGTTACCCATGCCCACGAGAGCCAACATCTTCAATGATACTATGATTATTTTACGCAAAGACAAACTATATTATTAAATATAAGGAATATCAGTTATACATACTTATAATCATTACATCCATAGTATATACTTTCATTTATGACTTAATTATGTGTTGCCGAAATAGAAAATGAGTAGCATTTGAACGCGTGCCGTTAAATTATTAAATACATTTATTTATTTGAAAATATTACAGACAATATTCAATCTTTAAAGTAAACAAAACTGGTATTTATTTTCATTGATGACCCTTCTTGTATTTTTTAAACATGCTATAACATGACCTTTAGGTTAGTTAGCGAAAGTCGTCACTTCTAAATCATTTACACTTTTTATAATATCATAACTTTGTACATGCAGTTTTACATTTTTATATTGTGACTGACCATAAATTTGTGCGCACAACATGGCACTTTCCAACATATTTTATGCGACATCATGATTTAGATTCATAGTATTAGTATCATGATAATATTCTAATTGTTAATTTCTTCGAAAAACTAATTTTAGATGTAATTCTTAAAATTATAATTTTAATTGTTTTTGAGCATTTTACTGTAGTGTTCTGGTAGTTATTTTATCATTTAGATGATATCAGTATGATGTAGTATTAATGTACAATGGACTAAATTACCTACTCGTGAACAACATTTAAACATTTCATTTCTATGTTATAAAGCTACTTTCAATTTTTTTTTTGATAAGTTTGAAATTTATTGGTAGTTGTCAAAGTGTAATATTATAAAACTATTAAATCGAAGAAGACAAATGTAGTACTTAGTAAAATTTACAAGCAACGTGTTTTATACTTTCTTTCAATGAAGAATGTTTAAGTAATAATATTTGGTTAATGTGGTTGTGTTACCGATAAATTACTTAGATTTATCTCTTTGATCAGATCTATTTCCGCGTACTGAACTACTAAACTGTTTTGATATCGTTAGTGGTAATTTGCAGAAAATTGAATTCCTGTACTAACCTAAAAGTAAATCATATTTAATCAAAATGTGAGAGTGTTTGAGTTGTACTAAAATAATGAAAAGTGAAATTTCCGGTGTTTTAGTTGCCATTGCATGTACGTTGCATTATGCCTAAATCAATTGAAAGTTTATTTATATTCATAGACACACATTTAAAAATAACGGAAAATATGTATCATTTTTTATATTTGTAGCAATGCTATGTATTTTTTTAACAACGTCTGCATTACAAATATCCATTGATCACAAATAAATATTCGTGACAAAGTCAGTTATTAAATACTGGTTTTTGGTTCGCGGTAAACACATAGTGACATAAAAATTATATATATTTTGATTATGTGTAGTCTGATAATTATTATAACACGATCATCACTTAATATTCAAAGATTTGTTTACTAATGTGTATTGATATGTCAATAACGATAATGTATACAAAGACCACTAAATTTGATTGAGATTCAGTTACCTAGAAAACTGTTTTGCATCTCTGTTGATGTAAATTTTCATCACACAATGGATAGACATTTAAAAAGTTTTGATTACTAAAATCCGGGTTACCTAACGTTAAGAAATTAATTATTTATTTCTCTCTGTACACAATTTTTACCTAATATCTTATAAAATACTGAATCGATAAGAATATTCAAGACACAATTGTATTAATTTATCTTGACAAATTAAAATGAGAATATGTGTAATGTATTAGTATTATTATCAGTAATAGTTCAAGGGATTGTACAATTTATATGTGACACTTTTGGAATTTAAATGATTTCTAAGTAAATATTAGGCGCAAAAATTATAAAATAAATTATACATTTTTATAAAAGTATGTATTCTTAATTTTTATCACTTTTCAATTGAAATAATTTACTAACTTTTTTTGAAACATTTTGACTATAAGTCTATTTTAGGATAACATTATTGGCAAATTCAATCTCTATAATTAATCACACTTTTAATTTATTTAAGCTACATAATAATAAAATATTAAACAATAAAATTAAAAAATACAATCAAGTTTAAATTGTTTAAGTTAATATTTGTTTATAATGGAAAGTTTTGCATATTTGAACAAAATTAATGAAATAATTATAAATTATTTCATTAATTATTATTTTAAATATAAAATAAAGTTATTATTAAGAAAACTTAATTTTGTTTATTAACAGGGCTGTCAATCAAATTTTTATCTATTAACCTGAAAACTTGAAATGTAGTTTTTCCATATTATTATTTAGAGGGAATTAGAAGGATTAATCGTCCCTAAAACGAAAAATATTTCATTATTTATAGTATTATAGTACATTCATAAAAAATTTAAAATTCTTCTTCTTTTCTTCACCTTAATCCCAACTACTTATGGGGTTGACTATAAGAAATTAAAAATTAAATTTTTTTCAAATCTTTAATTAAATACAGATTTTGGAAATAATAGAAACTTTTAATTTATAACTATAAATTAATAAGCGATTAAGTTATTTATGAAGTACATAGTTGAAATAAAATTAGTAAGTTGAGAAAAAAAACAATTGTCATTTAGAAATATTTGTTGAAAAAATTGATTTTTCTCAATATTGTCTTAAATTAGTTTAAATTTAATTGCAATGATAAAAATTAAATATTTACTGCACAAAAAAAACCACCATAAAGATTTAAAGGAAATAAAATTTATTTAGATATAATAGATAATTTTGTAATATTAGTATTACACATCTGAACTTCATAAAAGCACATCAACTTTTAAGTAAAAAAGTTCATCGACGCATAAAGATAATAACTTTTTTAGATTACTTAATTTCTTATAGATAAATTGATACGTTAGGGAGTTTTGCGTATACTACCATTACAGTACTTAACAAATGTGCCCGGACACGGGGTTCACTTCCAGTGCGTTCATGGTCAAAGAAAGGAGACGATAAGAAAGTCGGGTAAAACAAGCGGGAGAGCGGCCCGGGGGGGAGCTGGGCGGATGTTGTGTCCGGTCCGCGTGCAGCAACTGGTTAAGATAGTACACCGAACTGCTAAAAGCGAAACCGACGACCAGGCTCCTTTAAAAACAGCAGCCGCCCCGTCATTTGTTCATTACACAGTTACAGCTCAACAGAACAACAACGCATCATCGCGTCAATATTAACAGTCCACGAAAAGTAAAAAAAAACTATATATATAATGGGTGTATCGTTAAAGTTCGGTTTAGTGTTGTCGGCGTGCGTATATTTGGCTTTAGCCGATCCTATTCCTCACCAACAAGATAATGGATGTGCGGACAAGGACTCGGTCGCGTGTGCGCAAATGCAACTCTTCAGAACCGTCCGATCATTCTTCGACCAAGAAAAAGTGGAACTTTTGGGAGGATTATCTTTGGTCAAAAACGAAAAAAAGGGTAGATCTTTGAAAGAATCTGCTGAAGATGTCAACGCCGTTGAAGGAGCCAAAAACACCAATGAACGTGAAACTGCCCTTGAAGACTTTACCATGCACAAGGTTGCCCGTTTCTTCCAAGAAAGATCCCTTCACTGGAATCTCTCCCCAGTCGTCAACGAAGTTTCTGAAGCAGCCCGTAGTGTTGCTGATAGTATCCCACCTCAAATCAAGAACAAAATCTCCAACTTCATTGAAGAAGGTAATTACACATGATGACATAACATACTTATAAATTTATATATATCACCTAATTTTGGATCTATTATTTAATTTTCACTTAAAAAATAACAATTACATTTTTGTTACTAATTTTATTATTTAATATTTTTCATTTTTCTTATTTTTCAAATAAAATAATAGTAACATTGATGTACAAATATTTCGATGTTTTTAATAATATGAAAATCGATTACAATTTGGGATTATATAAATGTGTAGGTCGTGGTAAGAAGAAGAAGATGATGAAACAATTGTTGCCTCTGTTGTTGGCTTTGAAACTGAAATTATCTGCCTTCGCTGGTCTTGCATTCATCGTTATTGCCTTAATCGCCAAGAAGGCCTTGTTAGCCAGTTTAATTTCTCTGCTCGTTTCCGGTTTCATCGGACTTAAAAAATTGTTAAGTCAACAACATCCACACCATGAAGTGGTAAGTTATAAACTGTTTTATTAATTGTAGGTAAAAAATGTTATATAAGAATATTTTTGAAATCAAATGCATACCATGCATTAAGTTCTTAATGCATGCTTAGTGCATTTTATAATTTTTCACAATTAACGATAGAAATTTTACTCATAAACAGACTACATTACTATTTTTATGAGATGTTTAACATTTTAAAACTACTTTATAATATTGTATGAGTTTGATAATTAAAATACAATTTTATAAATACTTATAATACTTATAATTTAGTAAATTAATTTTTACTGCATTCTTTAAATAGCAGAACAGTTATAAAATATTTTTTTCATGATAAATTGCACTGGATTTAACGAGGTTTTGTATTAATATATTTATGGTTATTGTAGGTCGAAACTCATCACGGACATGCTAGCTATAGTGCCCCAAGCTACAGTGGATCAAGCTCTGGATGGGATAGCTATGGATCAAGCGGTCACGATGCTCACGGATCATATTCCAACAACGTTGCCCAAACTTTGGCTTATGGAGCTCAAAAACCCGCTGCTAGATAGAGATTATGGTAAGGTTTATTTGATTTCTAAGTTATTTAAACGGGTCTAAGCGGTTAGATTGGAGATAAGTCCATAATAAAATTATTTACATGGTAATATAAATATAATTACTATAATTGCCCAAATAACACATACACGTAACTACGGTCATGGTTGGAGATTACAAGAAAGGTGTTCCATCATCATCAGACCATAACCCGTCTATATACGTCTATCATAAACGTCTATGGATTTTTGAATGAATTTTCTAGGTTAATGACGGTGGTCGCAGTGAATTACGAGCGTACGGGCTTGATTAATACTTTCAACGTTCATTTCACATTCACTCGGTTATGTGTTTAAAAATACAAACGTGTATAAAAATCCGTGTTATCCATGCGCAGATGGGATTAATGACCATTTTAGAGGTGTGTAATCAAAATGATTTTCTGGGAGAGCTCTTCGGAAGGATTGCTGTTGAGACAAGGTGAAAGTCGGGCAAGTTCAAGGGGGACCGGGTGCGCCGTCCACGTACGTGATTCACTCGCTCACACATGCGTACGCTAACGAGAAATTTCGAATCGATAGGTAATTTTCCCGACTAAGAGAAAGCTGTTAAAACTGGTTTTCGGGTTCGACCGTGATTCGAATTTCCGGAGGCTAAGAAACTCGGGGTACCCCGATCGGACTGGTTTTAAATAATAATAATACTAATAATAGTAGAAGCAATAAGAACGTTCACTCGGTCGCTAACATTGCTGACCAACATATAAAAAACCTGTTTTTGATTGACACCCATGTAAGGGATGTCCATTCTTGTATACCATATAATTCACGCGTTTTAATGTGCATCCAAACTAATCTGAAAATTTTCTATTTCGTTGCAGACATGAACGGCAAGCCAAACCTTGTAAATAAAATTTGTGCATAGTCTTGCCCTCAACCACAAAAAAAAAAACAGAACACTTAAATTATTTATTTATTTTTATAAAATATTATCAGACTTCGACGCAGTGCAATACACTCAGTGGCACACATTGATGTTCAACGCCAACAAATCTTCGATGGTCCGGCCAAGTGTACGATGATAGGGACACATGACTGACATCAAACTACTTTTACTATATATTTACTTTTCCGACGTGTTATTTATTTTTTTAATTTATATAATACAATTATTGTTTAAACACGTTTAGATATGTACTATAGTAATATATACTCTAAGTGTACAATGACCAGCAACCCCTAGTTGGATCGTGCTATCCACGTGACTGACACACGTTGACTTTAACGTATTACCATTGTATTCAGTAAAAATAAAAATATATATTATTATTAATATAACAACAAAAACGCATTAGATTATGCCAAAGACATTACTTAAACACGACTGACTTTAGCACTTGTTAGCAACACTCAACGACAATGACTTATCTAATTCACGACTTACATATGTAACCTTTTAAAACTCAAGCTACTGAATCTAATCAACGCAAACATACAAGTTACACAAACGACATTAACTGACTTAACTTGACAGTTGAACTGATAGTCGGACGATAACTCTTGTATTATTTATTTATAATGCCCGTGTTGTAAAACATCAAATTATTATTTATAAAATATTTTTTTTACAAATAAATGAATTTATATTTTGCCAAAGAAAAGGGCAATAAAAACATAATTGGTGTACTTCTTTTCATTGTCTTCCGTACCAAAATCAACTCTCTGAACTTATTCTTAAGTATTTGATAACTTGGTATGATTGTCAAAACATATTAAAATAATAACATCATTAAAAAAGCGGCGTTTTTGAAGTGGAGATACTTGCCTTCTGCACGTCGGCGTACCAAAATTGCCTACATGAAATCCTGCTATATTCAAAACTCAATAAAAAATAATTACTTTCACTTTAAATTTGAACACTTAACAAAAAATTAGAACGACTGAATCCATTAGGATTATTCCAAATTGTCCGATTGAAAAATTACGCGTATTTCACTTAAAAAGACATGACAAAATGTAAGTGTATTTTTTTTATTTTGCCCGTAACGCACACACTTGGACAACAATAATAGAATATAATAAAACAGTTGTACAATAACATTGTCATTTCTTTTATAATATTGAAAAGTATAATTGCAATGTAAGATATTATATTATTATATTGACATTTGATAAACCAATTATTCTCTTATGAATGAGAACACAGTTTGTAAATGAATTGAACATTTCTAACACGACGTGTTGTCTCCTTTGACCGTCTCATGTCTGTTCACTGCTAGTCAAACCAACCACCAGGTGTTTTGAATAATCAAACATTTTTTATTTTACAATTTTAAAAGATCACAATCACCAGTAGAATAACATCCGTTTCATTTTCGACTCGACATGAGTAATTGGTACACAGATAGAACAGTAGTAGTATTATTACCTTATTTAATATTTTTGTAAAGTGTCAGAAAGTTATGATCAAAGGATAACCTATAGAATTTTGTCAGATAACCTAAGACTTTCTATACAATAAATCTTTGACTTGCGGTAGGTAGACGTCACGTTTATAATTATTGACAATTGCATTTTGCTCCATCTTTTTATAAGTGTGTTTGCTGTATATAGACATAAGATATGTTTCTTTCACCGCGATGAAGAAAAAGTTTTTCTTACTTTCAATTTTTTATTATTATTGGAACTTGAGCGAAAGGTATAAGCGGAACTAGATGTAAAATTCGAAAATATGTTAAAGTATGTTCTTTATACATATAGTATATATTTCATGCTAAATTCCATTTAACTAATAACTGTTAATATAATTGATTTGAAAACATCCTAGCGCCTTATATTATCACGTTATCCGCCATTATTATTAATATAGCAACATAACTCCTTTGCGGATACCACGAACCGATGATTGAGTAGGTTCAAAACAAGTATTTTAACTGGGCTACATGTTTAATACTATGAGGTCATGACACTTGCTCGTCTGTATAGTGTCATATTTCAACGGTAACTGTTAAATATGGAAAGTTTATAAATTATTTACTTTCGGCCATTTATTGGTATAGCCATTAAAATCATTAATAAATAGCAAAAGCGATGAAAAACGACAAGATGGAATATTTTCTTGCAGGCTATTGCCAGTTGTGGAAAAGGAACAATGTATCGTACTTTCTTCCGACTTTTACTGGAAAGTAAAATGAACACCAAAAATAGAAAAACTCGTTGAGAATTCATATAAATAATATATATAATCGTTTCAAAACGCAAATACATAGTCACTTAAATCAATACAAAGGCCATCCTTTTAATAGTAGCCACTAGATTTTTCATAAAAAAATTATTAAGTATTATTTTAATTTATCCCTTATACCTTATAATGGTGTCAACTTTATTTTTATTAATGACAGCATACATATTTAACTAGCTCATAAAATAAAAAATGATCTCATTATGAAAATTATTGGTCAATAACAACATTTAAGAGTACTTTGGAAGTTATTAACATTTTTAAGTATAGAGTGGAGGAAGAGCGCGAAAGAGTAATGCGTAATGATCAAAATAATATAACCCACATTTCGCTCACACAAATATATATATATATATATATCTTTTTAATCTAAACATTATATTTATAAAATTATAAATTTAAAATATAAAAAATGAAGTTTAACTGATACTGATGTAAAAAATAATAAATAAAAGTAATTAAAAAAATAATCTAATACTGTTATATAAATAGTTAAAAATTTTTTTTTTATTGTTATAAATAATTAAACAGTTTAAAACAATGTCGAGTGAATGAAGTAAAATTTCAATATGTCACTAAATTGAGGAAAACAACATTAAATTTAATTTGCCTATACTAGTGTTATCTAGCAGTGATGTATGATTTACAATTTATAATATAATGTTTGTTTAGATGCCTATTTGGGATGCCGTCATACAGTGTAAAGTTAAATATAATGATTCAGTCGGTAGTTATAATTCAAAATTTAGGCTATAGACGGACTTTAAAATTAAATCAAAACTAAATATTTTCTACATTTAAAAAAAATATAGTATTAAAAACTAAAATTTATCAATTATTTTATTGAGAAGTTCAGATAAAATGTATAATTTCTTTATCCACTTAGTTTTTAGTTAAATAACTATTAGAATAATCGTCATTGATATTTTTATGTCTTACTTTTTTCGTAGCTATTAATTTTTTGTACATACTAAAATTATGATACAGTAACAGTTAAAACCAGCTGAATACTATATGAATTGTCTATATTTTTCATGAAAACAAAAATATTTAAGAACTCAGCAAATAAACTTACTCTCTCTTTTTGAATATGTGCGTAAAATGTATGTGTAAATATATTTTAGGTCAACTTAATTTAATTCCGGTTTTTAAACCATTTAATTTTAATAATTGAAACGGCTGTCTATAGATTGTGATATTTTTTTAAGTTGATTCGACCTATCGGTTTGAGGAAACCCGTTACACTCGTTCACCTAACGATAATTGCCTTACTACTAAGATCGCTGGGATGATATTTAAGCAAAATCGCTCAATATGACATTACTTCATAATTTTAACGATTGCATCAATATATTTTTTAGGCAAAATCTAATTAACGCAATGAAACAAATATATTGTTGACGTTAACTTATGAACTTAAATATTTTAATTGATAATAGTATATATCAATAATTAATTAAGGTATATGATTTATGCCTATGTTTAAAATATATATGTTTATTGATAATCTTGATCAATGAGCAGTATACACAAGGTGTTCACTAAGAAGTAGTAGCAGTGTTTCGGAAGGACAGAGCCGGTATATCGTATAACGGTGCGACCTTGTTAATTGTTATGGGCCAGCAGGTGGCGACTGTGCATATTTGTAACCCAGTGGTGTTAAATACTTACAGTATGAGATGTGCGTGCTGCACCCGTAGATTCTGGAACGATATTTAACTGACGGCGTGCAGACGATACGGCAACTAAAAATGCCGCAGGGAAAAGTGAACCGTTGTCCGAAAACGGCGAGTATTAGTGAGTACGTGTCTCGTGCTTAAGGAATCTTAAACGTTCTTATCCTAATACGAAGTGATACGTTACAATATAATACTGCATTGTATAGATTAACAGAAACGTTTATTGGAAAATAAGTAGTTGTATTTGGAGAAAACTAAAAAAAATAAACAAAATCGATTGCTAATGTCATATCAGCATAGCCGACAGCAGGTATCTTCATCACACCGGACAGTCACGGACGTCACCATTTGTTAGTTGTCAATTATGTTCCATCAATTTAATATACACTATGTTTTATTGTCCGACGTCCAAATAGTATTTTATTGACTTTCCCAATAATAGTTACGCACACAAGGCAATCGACGCATCTTTAGGTGTGCGGTGGAAAGCAAAAGGATCCAGGCGTTCGTGTCACATGACTATACAATGAACGTTGTACTTTAAAAGAAGCTACCGCTGTGATAAAATGTATATGCACAGATTAAAAATAATGCCATAATAATGGACAACGGAAACAAGACCGTCGAACTAGTGAAAGCATACGAAATGCGTACAATTAAAAAGTACAAACGCATTGATTGAAAAGAGAATAATATATTATCAATATCATTAGGCATCTATGAGATATCCGAAAACGCAACCATCATATCAGTTGTGTTTAATATATAAGCGCAGATGCTTACAGCTCAGCTAAACCGCAATGTTTTTGAATCATTTGTTTGAACACATTGTTAGAGAAATTTTTCCTCTCAAACTATACTTGAAATTTTCAATAGTAGTTTTTTAATGGAATTGTCGTTTATTATTGCTTTTTTTACACATTTGTTCAAAGCATATCATGTGAGTTGCGTGCACCGATCGTTAAAGTCTTTTCAGTTACGGTCCATACATCTAAAGATTTTTAACTTAAATCTTATTTATATCGACGAAACTTATTAAATTTAATAAAAAAGTTTATTCCAGAAAACAATTAATACAGAACAATATGCAAAAATATTTTCATACGACCTACATTTTTTTATTCTATTTCAAACTAGTTATTTAGCCAAGTAAAAATAAACGAATTTTTAATTGCCAATCATAAATTGAGTATAATTAAAATTCCGTCTACAATTCAGATGAGTATAGCGTACTGTTTAGGAAATATGTAAAGTGTGGAGCCATCATCGCATCGAATGGTAATGAATACGTGTTTGCAGACTTAAAGGTATATAAAAGCAATGCCTATATAGATGTAGCACACACGATGATGGACCCACCTGAACAGCGGCAACTTTGACATTTGACCCGTGAACACATGTATATGTATATATTTATACATCATATTGACCTAGAAAATCATATTTTTTTTTATAAATAATGGTGTTCAACAAACGACACTATTTTCCCTTTAGGCAATTGCTAAAATTAGACTTGATGTAATTTTATTAAATTAAAATAAAAGTTATAAAATAAACAACAATCTTAATTTAGAGCATTAAGTATTTGGTGCATCAATTGAGAATTCGCCATGCATATAAATTCAGCTAACACGTTTAATGTTCACTGCGTGTGAACAAATATTCATTTACATAGTAATGAAAATAATAATTAATTAAAAAGTTTATTTCATTAATTTCTATAGTGAAAATGAAATTTTAATTATGGATAAGGAAAAC